ACATGATTTTTATTATGTCCTGATACGTAAAACCATAGAACTCAAAGAGGATGTACTTTCTTTTTCACACAACTGTACACGTCTACCCCAGGCCAAGGAATGCTGTCAAGGCTGTTTCCTAGCGTCTGGAAGAAGGCTGGAGACAGGATGATAGTTTTCAAGAATTGTCAGGTCCAGGATAGTTATCCAGAATTGTTAGCTCCTTGAGTGGGGGCCACACCGCTGCCTCCAAGACACTAAGAGTACAGGATGGACCCAACTACAAGTCACCTCCCAGGCAGCCATGACAACCCAGAAGGGACCTGGATCTACTAGACAAGTGGCCAAACTCAGAGTTTAGATGACCCTGTCCACAATCTCAGGAGTCATAAACTCATCCCAGATAACCCCACCCCGGGCTCCTCAACTGGACTTGCCCAGTCAGAGTCCACCTCCACAAGGATCTGAGCAGTTTTATCCATCATACAATTAGAATATTTTTCACAGTGGCCCTGCAGATATAATTTTGGCCTGTCCTTTCCCAGCAGATGACTGGGTCATCTTAAATAGGGCTATCAGATGACTACCGGAGGATGCAATAAGGGAGGAGAAATACTACGGGCCCTTATTCATGTTTGATCTGACTTGCTCTTCTTCCTCCAACAGGACCCTAGGCATCTCTTCTGGCACATCCCCCATGGCTTCTTAATAAACCAAGATGCATCCTGGGATCAGCGTCCGAGGAGAGACCACATAGGGGTAACACAGTCCAAGTCTTCTACCATCTGCTCGTTCTGGGCTGTGCCGCTGCTTAACTGCCTACCCAATCCCCAAGCAAAACCCCAAGCTTCCTCTGGAACCCCACTGGGACTGCAAACTGTCTTGGGCAGCCCAATCAAATTGGCCTTGTCTCTTTCTGCAAAACCATGAGGGCTTCCAGGGGACCGAAGAAACTCAGAGAACAGTCTTGAAGGTCCAAATGTTACCTCCAGGGACAAGGGAACAGTGGTGAGAAGGAACTAGGTCTCCTATTTGTGAACCCCCAGAAGCATCTGGGGCGGCCACCCTGAGAAACCAGCTGCTGGACTCAGGTGGACCTTAGCCTGATCCAGCAGGACTAATCTCAAAAACTCTTAGGAGAGAGAGGAGCTCTCTAGTGAAAGCCTTCTCCAAGCTTTCTAAAGCTACCCAGGTAGTGTTCACTATGTCCTGTGGTGGTGGATTCCACAGACTGACTGCGTGCAGCAGAAAGAAGCCTGCCCTCCCTTTTCCTCTGGCATCACCCGCCACACAGGTCCACTGGACAAGCCCGCTGGGTGCCTATTAGTAAAGCTGGAGTAAAACGTGTCTTTCCACTTTTCCCACAATGCCTTGGCACGTCTTCTGCAGGATGCCTTTTTCTGGGCCTTTTTCTTGCAGCTCTCTGCTTCCTCTTTTTACGTCTGGTAGCCACAGCAGTTCAGTAATCTGGTAGTCGCGGTGTACTCACGTGCTGGAGCAGAAACTAATCCAATGGGTGGATCTGTGCCACCCATGAGCCTTCCGCAAGAGCCAAGAACCAACCCGAGGTCCAGACCAGCCGAGCTTAGCTTAGCTGCTTGTTCCCGTCCTGATGTCCCATCTTTTGCTATCGGGGGAGTGTGCTGGATAGACCAGCCAAAGACTGGCATGGTCTTCATATGAAGATATTAAGGTTTAAAAGGCAAGCCCCCTGCCATCCTGGCAGGATGGGCTCAGCTACGGGCGTGGCCCAACGCGTGGGAGAAAAGCCAGCGCTTTGTGGCTCTGTAGAAGGGTCACAGGTTGCTCTTCCTCCTTTTTCTTAAGATCTCCAGTTAGAATCACTATCTCCCGTAGTGGCCAAATACAGGACAGCTGTCACTGCATGGCCAGGGAGCTCCCCACAGCTGCCCTGCAGTGCCCACTTGCTTTCTTTTCCTTAATGCATTTTGGCTCAACTGACTAGAATTCAAAATTATGCCGCTCTGCACCACCTCCCGTGTGGCTGTGGGGCAGGTGTGAGAGATACAAGGTGGAGTTCCCAGAGTGGCTCTGACTTGGCGAGGCATTCTAGGACTCTCTGTCTTTGCTGCCCGCCCGTAAGAGAGGGCTCCCTGCCCTTGAGGCTCTCCTCTGTGTTTGTGTGGCAAGCTGACCAGCCAAGGACTGCCTGAGCTCAAACAACTAACCCACTGTACTCCCATGTGGCAGTGAGCTTCACAGAGTTTTAGATTACGCTAAAATGGGGTTGGCTTGTGTGTCTGGTTCCATTTTTGGTGGGAACCTCCACTGCCTGCATCCTTAATTCGATGACTGAACCAGTTACCTAAGTTCACCCAAGACACTACAGGTAGTCCTTGATTTATGGCCATTTGTTCAGCGACCGTTTGAAATTAGGACAGTGCTGAAAAAGGAGGCTTATGACTGGTCCTCAAGGCTGCGGCCATCCCAGCACCCCCACAGCTCCATGATCACAATCTGGGTGCTTGGCAATCCATTCACATGTATGACCGGTTGCCAAGTGCCCCATGATCACATGATCACCATTTGCAGCCTTCCCTGCTGGCTTTCCCAGAAAGTCAATGGGGATGCCAGCAGAGAAGACTGCAAGTTGCTGGGGTAAGTCTCCCCCACCTGCACAACCTCTGCACTTGTGCTGTGCTGGCCACTCACGCACCCCTATGCACCCTCGTTGACCTGCACGGCACCTCTTGTGCACCCTTGCTGTGCTTCTTACGCACCCCCTTGCACCCCCGACCAGCACAGTGCCTCTCATGCACCCTCACGCACCCTTG